TTCTACTTACACTGCATTCAAAAATGAAACTTGTTGAAAAACCATTCTATTTTGTGTCTGCCCCACCTAAGTTGTATGTCATCAGCAAACAACATACACCATCAGATTTTTACTGAAATTGTATAGTAACTTACAAAATTTGGGTTACAAAAAACTTGACACATGCTGCGGACATTTTATGCAAACTATATTGATGCATTTATCTGTACATTTGCTCTGAAATGGCTGCCTTGTTTTCTCAGTATTTGATCTTGGTTTATTTTCTCCACCAGATAATAATTCTTTTGGGTATGATATGGTTGGTGGAAAGAAGAGCACTTCAATGCATCAGATGCAGACCAAGATGGTCTTCTGAATATAACAGAGTTCAATGAGTAAGCATCTACCTGATCACAAAGTTTCATTTGCAAACAATAAATGAATAAGCGACCTCTGTTTTGTTTTTGTTTTCTTTGACTTGTAGTTTGGGTTTTCCCCATAATTGACTATTCTCTTTGTGATCTTCTAGCTTTTTGCACCCAGCTGACAGTAATAACCCAAAGCTGCTTCAGTGGTTGTGCAAGGAAGAAATACGGTACGACGGTTTCTGTCAAATTCTTTTCCTTTAATAAAGAGCATTCTGGTTTCTTCTTATGCATGTATCCACCCATCTAACAGTACTATAGATTGGCTAATTGTATGTCAATTTTCCTTTGTTTTGTGAGGACTTACCCTTTGGCCATATTTTTCCTCGTGGGGATTCTTAGGAATGCTGTTAACCTAAATTTATTTTGCAATATGAAGTTGTCCTTTGAAATAAAAAGATTCTTGTGGAACTTCTCATGCAATCACAACGCTGTAAACCACTCATATCGAGAACCTTTGACTTTTTTATAGTTATGACATTCTGATGCAATCTTTTTCTTAGTTCTCGTGAACTTCTAAAAGGTGCAGCCTTTAGTTGGGTTGTTCGATATATCTGCAGGAATAGGATTTGTCTCAACTTGTTATTCCTTATCAAAATTCTTCGAGAAACTAGTCTGTCTTCCCATGTAATGTGATGGATAAAAAATGGGAGATTTGGTGAGAGGTCCATGCAGAGGCATTTTTTTGGCTTTAGGTCCAAGTTTAACACTTTTAAGGCTAAAAGTCTATAAAATCAATTATTAACAAAAATACCTTTAATGAAGGAGGTTATTTAAAAACCTCCACCATTATATAATTTTTATGTTTATTACTATTACCATCATCATCCCAACGCCACCACTCATCGCCATCGCCAACAACAACCACCACTGCCAACAACCACCACCTCCCATCGCCACTATCACCCATCGCCACCACTCGTCACCTACACCACTACCCGCCATCCTACCCAAATCCAACACCACCCATCGCTAACCACAACCATCATTGCCACCAATTATCACCCCACATCATCGCCGCCACCAACACCTCCCAGTACCTAAAACGGTGAAAAATTAGCCCACCACCACTCACTACTCACCATCGTCGTCAACCACTACTCAAAACTCACTACCATTTGTCGCCATTGCCCCCATCTATCATTGCCACCAACCACCACCATTCACTACCCAAAAACAATAAAAACTAACCAGCCACCTACCACCACCAACCATTGCCGCTAACCATAACCACTCACCACCAAAAAGAGTAAAAAACTAGCCCACCACTACCCACCGCCATCGCCACCAATGCTGCCAACCACCACCACCCACCACTCAAAATAATGAAAAACTAACCAATCACTATCATCGCCACCAACCACCACCACCCACTCGCTGTCGCCACCACCAACCACCATCGCCATCAAACCCATTCACCACCCAAAGAAATAAAAATTAACCCACCACCCAACATTGCCGCCACCCACGACCCATCACCCACCACCCACCACCATAATCCATTACCACCACCCACACTTATCATCTGTATCACCACTAACCACGGTTGCCGCCACCATCACCAGTCATCACACAAAACAGTAAAAAATTAGCCTACCACCACCACCACCACCAACAACAACAATCGCCACTAATAACCACCACTCAACACCCAAAACAGTGAAAAACTAGCTGACCACCACCCATTGCCATCGCTACCACCACCCCCATCGCCATTGCTACCAACACCCACCACCCAAAATAGTAAAAAACTAGTTCACCACAATCCACCGCCATCGCCACCTCCGCCCACCATCGCCGTCAACCACCACCTCCCATTACCGCCACCAACAATCACCACCGGTAACCATCATCCATTACTCAACACAGTGAAAAACTAGCCTTCCACCACCTACCGCCATTGCTACCACCACCACCTCCACCACCCAATATAGGAAAAAAATTAGTCCACCACCACCCACTGTTGCCACCACCACCCACCATCGCTGTCAACCACCATCACCACTGTTGCCATCATCACCACCCAAAACAGTAAAAAATTAACCTACCATACCACCTACTATCCACTACCACCACCATTAATCATCGCTAACAATCACCACCCAACACCTAAAATAGTGAAAAACTAGTACATTACCACCCACAGTCATCGCTACCATCACTGCCAACCATCACCATCCATCACCCAAAACAGTGAAAACTAGCCCACCACCACTCACCGTCATAGTCGTCACCACCAACCATTGCCGCCAATCATAACGACTCACCACTCAAAATAGTGAAAATCTAGCCAACAACACACCACTCAAAACAATGAAAATCTAGCCAACCACCACTATCGCTCCTAACCACCACCACCACCACCCACCACCCAAAAAGTAAAAAACTAGTTAAACTAAAAATAATGAAAAATTAGTGAATTAAAAATTGTAAAAAATAGTGAACTCAACAATAATGAAAAATTACTAAACTAAAAATAGTGAAAAATTAGTGAACACCAAAATTAGGAAAATTAGTGTACTAAAAACAGTAAAATAAAAAATAATGAAAAATAGTGAACTCATAAACACTAAACTTCAAATAGTGAACTCAAAAAAAAGTAAAAATATTAAATCCAAAATAGTGAAAATTAGTGAACTAATAACAATGAACTAAAAAATAGTGAACAAAAAAACAATTTTAGTCAATTCACGGTCCCACGATATTTTACAATCCAATTTTAGTGAAATTGCATAGTAAAATAAACAGGAGATTTGACGAGCACTAGTGAACAAAATCCTATTTGGACTAGAATCATATCAAAACTAATTACCCAATGAACTATTAAATAACTAACTACTTTATAGGATTGGGTTAATCTCCAAGAATTACAATAATCACCACTGAATTGCCTCTAACTGTGGCCTCCACTACCATCAAGTTGTTGCAATTTTTTTGGACTATTTGGATGTTGCGTTTCTCGATGAATGACATTGCAATTTTTTTGGACTATTAGTTAGTTCCAAACTCCCTTATCTATAGGATTACAAGCTAGATCAAATAGAGCGAGACCAAGACAGAGGCCGTAAATTTAAAAAATGGTTGAGAGCGAGAGTGTCAAATTTATATATATATATATATATGTATCATTGTGATACACACTAAAAAAGAGGATGTCAAAATACCAAAAATAGAAAATAAGATTAATTATTAGTGACAAAAAAAAGGGAAGATAACAACATGATCCTTTCCCACATTTGTAGAGTCTCTTCCGTTGAAAGGCAAGGCAGCGTATATAAAAGATCTATCCCACATCGGTAGACTTAAGAAGCTGAATGGCAACTAAGTTGTATAAGGGCACAACGGTAAAGCAGCTTTGGCAAAGAAATGAGCTCAACGTTTGGGCCAAGTCCAATTGGGTATGGAAAAAATTCTGGGGCTAATGTAATATCCATTAATTAGTTTAAATTTTTCTGTATTTGTGGAGATGGCTCCGAAAGTTTCTAATACACAGATTTCAAAGACTGAATTTGCGGATTTGACTTTTGAATCTGCGAATTTTGGCCGAATTTGCTCCCAATTTGTGGATTGGCATTCGGAATGCAAATTCGTTGAGGTGTGTAAGTGAATCATGTGATCTAGCTTATAAATTGTCTCCCATCTCACCAAATTGTTCCAATTGACTGCTCCCATCATTAACCAAAGAAAATCCCTCATCATGTTCATTAATCTTCTAGCAACAATTCGACGGATTCTAAATAGAGATGAGTCGTATAAAGGAATGCTAAGCAATTGTGCTTTAACATAAGCAATTCATCCTCCAAGTGAAAAATATACCCATTTCAAATCATCCAATTGTTTGCTCATTTTCCCAACAATCGGGCTACAAAAAAAAAAAACTTGGGTTCACTGGAGAGGAGATTATCAATGTTCAAAATTATATCTTTTTTATGTGCAACCACTAGAGCTGATGATTTTAACTGTTATATATGTTCTACATTAAATAAAATACATGAATATAAACTTTTCAAATAAGATCTAGAATATCCTAGGCTTACATTGTTGCATACTTCAGTGTTAGTTACATGGAATATGAACCATGTATATGTTCAACACTAGCAAAAGCTTGGGGAGTCAACTGTGAGATTATGAACTTGAATTTGGGTGAGGGACTATTTCAAACCGAATGTAGGTTTGTATTTCCTTTTGCCCTCCTCGCATTTAAGATGCCAAGGATTAGTTTCTTCTGTGCCCCACCTATCTCCATATCAAGTTCCTCAGTTTTTCACCCAGTTTGTCACACTTTGGACGTCGCTTCAGGACAGTTAATATACTGTCTCCTTCACTGGAAGATGCGGTACTCATTACCTAACATCTGCTGACAAGCGATACTAATTTTCCTGCCTGTCTGCCAGTTTCGGCATTTGTTCACATTGTTTAGGTTTGCACCCTTTATACAAATAGGGATAGATGCTAATGAAGATTGGCTTGGGAATCCTACTTTCTAGACATGTTTGGTGTGACAAGCAACTGGTTAGTAGTTAGCCTAATTCCTGACTTGTAGTGGTGTCGATGTTGTGCCAGAGGAGACTCACAACCTGTGTATGAGGCAGAATCTCTTCTTAGCACATACCCAAAAGCATCGTTAAGAGCAGCAATCCTAAAGTCTGTGAGAGGAGTCTTATATTGAAATGTGATGCATTGATATGGAGTATGCGTGTTACATCTTGTTGGAAGACCATGGGTCTATGATGGGAAGGTGCATCATCACGGCTCTATCAACAGATCTTGCTGCATAATGTTGACCACATATTATGAGGGCTTTGTAAATTCAGCAACCTCCTTTGAGACTACTACATCTTAAAAGAGCACCTTCAGCTCTAAGAAAACAGTGGAATTATACTGGTAAGTTGTATACAAATATTCATGTGCAAATGCCCAACAAACTGAGATGGAGTAGTTTTAGAACCAGACAAGCAGCATAGTGGAACTATTAGAGATGCACCAAAATTTTGGAGGCTGGAAGTTTTTTCAGCTTACTGAGGAGATTGCATATATATATATATGAAGGCAGTCATGCTTCCCTTTCGACTATTGGGTTATCATAGTGGGGCTGGAGAGATAAGTGAGGCTATTTATTTAATAATGAAAGTCAAAATTCCTGTTAAAACATGCAGGAAAAAAATGAATGAAATTTGCTAGAAAACAGCCCCCAGTAGGCTTAAATCTAAAGAGAAGTGTAAAACTACGTATTTTGAATGGATGTTACTGAGAGTATAGATCATAGAAGGCACTTTCTTTGGAAGCCCAAATCTAGGGTTGTAGGCCCTATGCAGTCAAGAAGCATCTTAGCTCATACAAAACATGGTAGGCAAAGCTTGGCTGCAGAATCCCTGTTTGGAAGCCCAACTCTAGGTCAGTAACGAGTGTAATGAAGAAGCATGCACCTCTAATAGTTAATCTCTGCCTCATTTCATGGTCATTACCCTCTTTGTCTCAGTACAGTATTCTGCATCCGTTTGTCCTCCACTAATCTATGACGTATTTTTTAGTAGTTTAGGCATGCCTGGACAAGGCCGACTTTGTGAGATTCCATTAGGATGGCTTAATCCCCTACAATGGCTTAACCACTTCTGTTTCTACAGCATTCGATATAATCACCACTCCCCTTGGCAATAGATGTATAGCATTAAGAGTTTTAAGGCCATCCTGCAGTAATCAACTGGGTTTGCTACTATTTTTCACTCTATACCACAGCCTGATTATTCCATTGTCAAACCTCTAAAACCATATCACTGCAGTGATTGCTCAAAATCATTATTAATATTGCTCACTAGTCACTACTTACCACCATGGAATTGTTTTTTGTTTTCTAAAGGCATACACCACAACTTCTCTTAACGCAGTCTTGCTTTAAATTTGTTGATACTCATCTCTGACTCAGACGTTGTAGAAAAACACTAAATGTGGTCCGAAGTCTGTAGATCATGGAGTGAGGTTGACAGTTTGAGGCTAATGATACAACTTCCGGCTTTACAAAGAATTTGGCCAAAAAGTCCAGAGCAAAATTTTGTGGAAGGCAAAAGTGATGAGTGTGGTTGTTGATACGCTATAGTTTATATGATACATCTAGCATTATTGTGCTCCTTAAATGTAGGAGCCCTGAGCCTTGGAGCAATCAGATTGTAGGCTTCAGAAGAATGAAGATATTTGATACCAACCAGGTAACAGCCAACGTACCATTTGGGAACTGTAGGAGTTCTTCCTCCCAACCTTAACTGACGAGCATCTGTAAAAGCTTGGATAAATGTTTTATTGATGATGCTGATGATGATAATAGTATTGCATTTTTCATATATACTTTAGATTACTAGTCCTTTCTCTGTTGCTCTTGATTTCATCACAAAGAAACCATAATATTCATGTTTGTTCTTGGTAAATTTTAATTATATATGTTTTGGTTATAGCAAATAAAACTTGACGGAAAATTATAAACAGTTAGTCATCTTCTAGTCTAGTTGGGAGAGATTTGGATCTAAGTCTCATGATAGGAAGAGTTTGAATCAACTGATTTGAATATATGGAAGGAGATTTCTTGTTTATCTTAGTTCAAAACGTTTTTTGTATTAGGTGAATTTGTTTATTGGTGATTCCCAACCTTTATTGCTTCCTCTTGTCCATCTTAATCAATTTCTACCTGGTTCTGATTTTCCCTCATGTAGTATATTTGCCATTGTGCTTGATCTTGTAGGAATGTAACATGCCTTACTCCTGTGCTTACTGCGAACTGATCCGTTCTTCTGTATCATTTCACTTCAGGGAAAGAGATACTGACAAAGATGGGAAGGTTAATTTTAAAGAATTTTTCCATGGGCTCTTTGATTTGGTAAGAAACTATGATGAAGAGGATCATAATTCTTCACACGAGTCTCATGGTTCAGAGGAGTTCCCTGCTAGAAAGTTATTTGCGCAGTTTGACAAAGATGGTGATGGGTAATAAACAGGATACCTTTTTCTTTTATTGATTTTACTGGTTTCATCTATTCTCTGCTCCCCGCTTCCCTGCACCAATTTTCTTTTCTCCCCCTTTAACGTCTATGATCACGTGTATAATATCACGGGTTATCTGAGCTAGCCTTTTTCTTTGTAGATATTTGTCCGATGTTGAACTGCTATCTATTATTGGAAAAATTCATCCATCAGAGCATTACTATGCCAAGCAACAAGCACATTATATCATATCACAGGTATTTCATTTTTGTCTGAAGAGAGCTCTTTTATTGAATCAATTAAATCTGGCAAGTTTATATGCTTTCCCATTTGAAGTCGTAAATGAGCCAGAAAAGCACAGAGCTGATATCCTTATTGGAGTGAATAGAATGAGATACTCTTCAGCCACTTATCATCATATCACATAATAACAGCACACACCTACTGTGTGCTCTCATCACAGTCAATGTGGACCCTGGTTTTGCTTGGTCCACCAATGGATGATATCATTGTACTGCATTAGAGTGCTAGATTCCTCTCTATGAGATGAAATAATGCCACTTTAATGCTAATTAGTGATATAATGCCCAACCATTAGCTGTTAGTTTGAGTGTTATTTCCCACCATCCTTTAGGAGGAGGTGCTGGTTCAAGCCCCAATTTGGACGTCATGGCTTAGTATTTCCCTTATTCTTCCATTCTCCAATGCTAAAAACATCTTGGACAATTTGTTGGTTTTAAAAAGTTGTTAGAAGGCTGCTAAATGTTTTTGGGCACACTAGTTTCCATCATGCATTAAGATTTTTTTTAAAAAAGTTTTAGAGATTATTTCTCTCCTCTGTTTTATACGTTAAATGCTTCATTTCCCAGCTTATTCTTTTTTCTAATGCCTGATCTAATACATGAAAGATGTGAAAGTTTAAATTATGACAAAAGAGCCCTTTTTGCCTGAAGAAAATGATTATTAAGATACAACAAGAAAATAAATGAGATGTCATTCAGAGTGAAACACAGCAAAAAATGCACTAACAGAAGTGGAAGGCCTCGCAACTAAAACAAATACAACCCTGACCAAATACCTAGGCTTCTTAGGAAGAATCTTAGGGCACAACAGCGTAGGGTATTTGTGCCCCTGTTAGCCCTGGTTTATTTATCAGACAGGAGGAGCCTGTCCAATTACAATCTTAGACCTGCAACCACTTAGATTTTCACCCTTTGCCATGGAGAGGGATTTTGGCTAGCCATCTGCAGAACTAGGCTTCGAAATGATTTTCTTTAGTTTGATTACTTTGTAGAGTGTTATCCACAAACGTGTTCTTATGCTAAGAATTCTACTAAAGCATATATTTGTGTTAAGTTTAATGAACTTTAATCTTCTCCCCCTTTTCGTTCAAGATGAAAATTAGAACTTAAAGACTCTTTTACCCTTACAGACCTATGTAGGAGCCTCCTCTTCCCCCTTCCCTTTTGGGCATGCAATGAACAGTTAATAAATTCAGAATGCCTATAGAGGAAGAGCAATGCTGAGCAGCCGACTCACTACGAATCTGTGCTCTAAAGTCATCATGGCACGTCTGTATATGTTGATCCGCTAGGATAAGGGCCAGCACCTATGAAAACCTTGATGCCTGCTCCATAAGTGCAGCTGCCTGGGGACTAGATGAATCTGCTCCATATGCTGCTCACTCTCCTCCTATGACGCCCCAAAAACTGGGGTCCTTTATCAACTGTTGACTACCCATCAACCTGCAAAAGTATCCGTGATCATCACACAATCTAACATCACGTCAATAGCATCTTCTTAACCGGGATCACAAAACCCAAAATTTGGACGGAGTCTCCCTTGTACCGGGAACTCGCGATGCATAACTTGTGTACATGACATTTATATGACCCATCCGAGGTCCAATATACAACAATTTATCCTCCTTTAATGTCCATTTATATCATTTGAACAAAAGAACCCAAAGTCCAAAAGTATGGCCTAACATTCTTAAAATTTAAGATTTTTGGAAAACCTACCGGTAGGTTTTAACGTTCTACCGGTAGGTTTTGCCTAATGAAAAAGTTCTACTGCAGAAAAGTGACGTTCTACTGGTAGGTTTTGCTTACTGGACCACAACTATCGGTAGGTTTTGCCCATAATTGCCTGTTTCACCTGTTTTTGATTTTCAATTACTTCCAATCCATTCCACAACCATTCAATACATGTTTAATGAAGTTTTACACATGAAACATGATACGACAAGTTTTATTACAAGAATTTTCATATATTTACATGCCAAAAATAGAATTTTCTCAAAAATTATACAAATGAGTCATAAAGGCCACAGGTCCGCCTTCTTCACCCTTGAGGCTCGAATTGGGAGCCGTCTGCCAGTGTGAACCCCGCACCTGAAATATTTTTCCACGAAGGGTGAGCCACGCTTAATAGATTATCTTTTAAAGAGACTACTCTGCAACTTAGATGCATATAAAATATTTACATGTAACAATCAACTATTCAAAACATCTCCATCAAGAATATGCATTCAATGACAAGAATTCCTTGCCATGCCACGAAATGAGATAAGACTCACTCATGTACTTTAACCGGAGCCTTCACCGGCTCCCACAACACAATGCAATGCCAATGTGTGAAAATCAGGCATTCCAAGCCCTTGCCATTGATATTACACATAGAATGACAATTTTATAATTCAAAAAAAATCATTTATCTTTGTTGGGTAGCGGATTTTTGGTGTTGTACCGCCGGCTCCGCACACTGATACACTTTTTTGGACTTGCACCGTCGGAAGTGTATAAACCAGTAGTTGGGTCTTGCACCCGAGGGAAAGTCTAGTCCTTCTTGCTATACCCGACACAAGTTTTTCATGCAACCGTGCGACTCCGTCGGAATTTTGTTCCAATTTTTTTCGAGCCCATCCATCATCCACCAAGTATGGTGTTTGATCCAACATATGCACACACACCCACACTCATGTCGGTGTCCACAAATGCGATGTTCCTGTGCAAATGCAATGTAATGCATCATTGTAAGACTATTATCATATTCAATATGTAATGAATGCCATATGAACAGTTTCAACACATACCATAGATAATTACATTCTAAGCACATAATTTTCATAGTCTATCAATTGCCAATATATCATAAGCATATATTAACATTTCATCAACACAATTTTCAAGCATGTTATCACATAATCATGCAATTAACACACTCAATTCATCAAGACATAATATAAACACATAACATGCCCACATATAACATTTTGCCAAGAAATTTCTTACTTAGCAATTTTCAATCCTCAATTCACACTAGCATTAAATTTATCCATTTTCAATACCCAATTCTATCAACTTTACAACAAATAGGCAAGTGATACATAATTCTATCAACTTACCCATCTCATATAAACACCTTAGATTGAAAATAAACCTAATTAGGGAGACAACCTTACCTCTTGAAGTGTAAAACGACGTTGAGAAGTTTCAAGAACCCGATTCAAGCTAGAATTTTCACTTTCTCCAAATCCCGTTTCTAGGACTTCGGTAAAACCCGTGCTTTTTGGTATAGTCGCGTAGCCCTCGCTGAGAGGAACGACTTTAATACTTGGTTTGAGTTGATTTGAGCGACGAGGAGGCGTAGATCGTAGAGAAAAGTTGAATTTTCTCTCTTTTCCCTCTCTTCTCTTCAACGTTGAAACCCAGCTGATGTATAGGGAAGAAATCTGATTTTCTCCCCCTATTTATAGTCTTTAATTGCTTGGTCCAAAATGTGCCACACGTCCTCCTTTTTCGGGTCCGTTTTCGTCCCAAAATGATTAAATTTCGCTCCGGTTCAAGTTCGAAATATTTTTATTTTAACTTGATTTAAATTATTTTTTAAATTTTAAAATTTCATTAAAAATTTCGTTTTTGGTCACTTGAGACCCGACTGCCTCGTAAAATGCGAAAAATTCAACTATCTTGGAATTGAGCGAAATTTGTTTGGGTAATTAGATTTCGTGAGACGAATCCAATTTGAAAAAAACTATTTTCAAATTGTTTGTATTTATAATAGTATCGTCATCCGAGATCTTGAAAAATTCAGGTTTTCATTCCGTACTGAAAATAAAAAATTATTATTTTGCTATTTTTCATAAAAAGTACAAATTTACCCCGGGTTTTACACCTCATGATCTATCCCATCCTTAACTTGCTCTTCATCCATTGGCTGTTCCACAGGTTGCTCATCATCCTCAACTCTCTTCTTCTTTTCTATTATCTGAATTCTTTCTCCTCACGTCCTACATCACCTAACCTTTGGAGAGCTCCCTTATCGAGTTATCTAGAACAACTTGTCACTCCTTAAAACCTAGGGCACCTCCCACGCTCGGTAAGTTGGGTGAACAACAATACATATAAGAAGATTGGAGGCGATTGCAATGACCTATCCGTGTAAAGCTACATCCGTCCTTCTGAATAATCAAGCTCATATAAATCATGTTTGAAGAGTAAAACAATAAGAAAAAAGTAATAAAGCAGTACATAGTGGTAAATATTTAATCCAAAGACATCAGGCTTATTATCTCAAATTGACAAATTCAAGTACAATATACATAGTTCATCATACATGATCAATTTGGCTCAAATAAAAGCATGCTTCATCATAGATATTCAACAAGAACTTGCAACATATGATATATAGTGGTTCGGCCTACTTGGATCCACTCTGCCCCTATCTTGGTGGGATTACTCCATTTATTATTAGGAAACCACAACAACTGTGTGGATCACAAGCAAGCCAATCCACTAGCTCACCCCGGGTAGTCCTCGCAAAGCCTTATCGGAAGAATTTGGTGAAGGATTTATGCCTAGGCTAACCTACAACTAACACATCTTAAACAAACACATATATTTCTCCTCAATGGCACTTACGAGCTCTTTCTAGAACTTTGCAAATTAGTGCAAGCTAAGAGTGTAACTAATAACAAAGTGTAATAAAACACACTTAATAGTCAGAATTTGGCCCAAGGATGTGAGCTTCACAGTGTCACTAAGCTCTCTTTGGGTGGAGGGGCAAAATTGTCCTTTTGCCCTCTTTCTCTCTCCTAAAATATGTAGGTGAATGAATGAGAGGGATAGCCCCAAATCCATCAATCTTCACTTCAAATGAAGAAGAGAAGGGGTATTTGTAGGTTGGATTCAATCAGCTAGCTCAACGGCTAGATTTTTGAATCTACAATACCTAGTGGACCAGCTACGTACTTGAT